ACTAACAAAGGAATTCAATGGTATCCCGGGTGTCACCCTTAGAAAAACCAAACAGTTATTGGACTGTTATAAGAATTTAAAAAAGAAAGCCGTGAAAGAACAGGCACAAAAAAAGCCGAATTATTTAAAACAGGAGGAGGAAACCAATTCGTTCTAATAGGTTTCTTACGCTCTCTTTTGGCAAACGATATCGACATAGAAAGTCGTAATCGTCCAATTGTTCGAGGTCATTTCTTCTTGGAGAAATAATCCGCCGACTTCTTCGTTCCATACGATCTATATAATCTAAATATTTCAGATTTTCTAGCATCTCGGCTTCGTCTTCGTCGAATGTCGCCATTTTTCTCTGAAATAGACCGCTTTGCGCAGGCGTCAAACCTAGAGTTATCGTCTACTCGCCGATTTTCTAGAGTTAGAGTTAAAGTTAGGGTTATTGTGTTTGACTCGAGATTCGGAGTTGGTGAATACCAATTTACCAATAACTCGAGAGTTAACCCTAACTCGTGTTGGTGAATACAGGGGTTAATGAGGCAGGGGGACCTTATCAGAACTGTGGATCATGTCCATAGGGGTAAGAAAAAGTGTCAAATGAACCCTTTGTGAGACATAGCCCCCCCAAAATCAGCTTATCTGGAATTTTGAAGACCCTGAAAATGGAATAAAACATAGAAGTAAAAATATCCAAAACTATTTCTTAAAACAATGCTAAAAACTAGCTGTTTTCCATTTTACTATAGAGATGGATAAAAATTCATAAAACATGAGAAACATGACTACTTCCAGAGTGAGATTGGAGTCATATTGCATGCTCTTTACTAAGCCAATCACATGTTTATAGGGTGATTTCAAGAGCTGTATCTTGCTGTCAGTTCCTTTGACTTCTTTTACTCCTATGGGCATAGTCTACAGCTCTAAGGTCTCAACTGCCTAATTAAGAGCTGCAATTTTATCACCTTAAAAACTGAGACATCATGCCTCACTAAGGTACTGTAACTGCAATTTTCATTTTATTATACAGTATTTACATACTGATTTATTGTTTTTGTTTTATTTTATTATTTAGGCATTTAATTGTATTAACTTTACCTAAAATTATGTATATTTACTGCTTCATTTTATCTCATATTGGGATTTATAAACATTGTTTAGGGTCTGGGAATGGATGAATTCACTTTCCATTATTTCTAATGAGGAAAACTGATTTGGACTTCAAACAATTCAGAGTTCAAATAACCTCCTGAAACAAATTAAATTTGAAGTATGAGGCACCACTGTAATTATTATAATTTTATTTATTCTAATAAGTAGATTTATATCTATATATACTTTTAAAAAATAATTCTAATTACAAAATATAAAACATATTTTATATATATATAAACAGTTTAAAAAAAGCATTAAATTTAAGAAATTACTCTATTTAGTATATAAATTATGTATATATATTAATTTCATTCTTAATTTTTTTTTAATTTGAAGTAATTTGTTTAAAATATTTTTATAATATTTAAAACAAATTATTATTATATTAAATCACACTTGAGATTTTATTACTTCTATATGTTAAATTTCAAAGTAATATTTAATAAATATTATTAAATATATTCAATAAATTGTAGCGTCTTATTTTTGTGTAAAAAATTTAAAGATTATATTTGGTAGAAATTTAAATAAACTATTAGAAGAAAATGGAATACCTAAATAATAGTATTCTGTGACAATTTCTACAGATCCATGAATCCAAAATCATTTATCCAATCAGTTGACGTGCTTCCTTTCCTGAAAACAATTATCTTTGTTTTACTTAGCTTTACATTTTAAATGATGATCTTCACAAATACTTAATGTCAATTATATTGAATTTACATTTAAATAACGATCTTTTAGTTGTAACCAATACATGATGATGAAATACAGTTCATTTGTTATTTGTAATATATATATAATTTTTTAATTCTAACAGATTATGATGATTTTAAAAAGTAATGATAAATACTGTTTCAATAATTATGTTTTTAATAATGAATTAATGATAAATAAATATTAATACTTTTTATCATTAGACTATCATCTAAAAATATCAGTGGTCAAATGAAAAGAAAACTTGTGAGAAGCAGTGGCAGAAATTTAGTAATATCACAAAACCAATGACATCTGACTGGCTCATCACATGTCACCAACTCCCCAATACAGTATTAGCTCATTATTGTTATTAAAATTAAATACTAAAATAATTGGAAATGTCTCATATTATACAAATGACTTAGAAGATATTAAGAAAGAATTTCATAGTAAAAAGCTACATAAAGAAGAAACATTACTGAAAATTAAGGCAATAGTTTATATGAAAAATCTTTAACCATTTGTGCCTACAAACATTTTAAGCGGCAATCCATGAAGTCTGTATATAATTAAAAAAAAACTATTTTGAACAAAAATTTATTTGAGGAAAGGCTTCCAAGATAATTAGACATGCTTAGAAACGAATCCAACAAAATCTTCAAATTATTATTTAGAGCCTAAACCCTGAATTATCTTTCAGTTGTTCATACAGCAGTGGGAGAAAAAAAATTAATTTCAGCCTTGTAAAGGGTTATCCCTGATCTTATTTATTTATTTAGAATTTCAAATTCTATTTCTCAAGTCCTTCATAAATAAATGTTCAAGTATTTCTTACACAGCATGACACTAACAAGCATAATTGGCTCATGTTGCCAAACTTGCATTGTTTCTTACAAGTCATCTTTTCATTTGATCACTTGGCATAACTGAAACCAAAGCAAATATGATTCTAGTAAAAAATCATCATAAATCCATAAAGATATAACAAAAACTATTTCAATTTTTTTGATACTTTAATTAATTAATTAAAAAAAGCATTATATTAAACATTATTCATTTATATATAGTTTACTTTTGCTGTATACATATTTTCATATTGCCTCAATGTTTTGAGATATTAAATATATTTCAACTTCAGAAGCAAATATTTTTACTTCATAAAAATTTAAAAACAAAATTATCTTAAAAATTTTAATTTTTACTTAGTAGTTTATTTCTATTATACTTAGATATTTGAGTTAGGTTTATCAGAAATTTCTTTGTGTATTTAACATAGTTTAATAAAAATATAATTATGCTATCAATAGATATAAAAAGCATGGATTTCTTAACTCAGAACAGACATATCAAATTAAAAAACTCTTCATAAAAAAAATTCATTTGTTCTCTGCTCATATAACACTATATCCAATTGAATCAGTTTTGAAGTATTTTGAGAGCAATATTTTGACTTTTTGGTGATGTTTCTTATTTTAATTAGGCTAATGTTATCTTGAGTTATAATAGAGTACGAATGCATAAAATGTCTTAGTTGTGCTCCTCTAAACTTATTTCAATATTTGCATTCTACTTTAACTCATATAAATAAAAAATAGTTCAATGTCAGTACGAATATATCAACAGAAACATGATCTTAGTAATTGATATGTAAAATTTCCTATTTTCTTTAGAGAATTGGTAACTAATAAAATAAAAGAATGTATTTTTATTGGAAATAGGAAAAATCTTATGTTCCTCATATTTACATACTTGTTTGAGTCAAATCCCACAGTTCACACACTTTTAGCATTTGAACTTATTTGAACTGTAATGAACTAAACCTCACAAAACATTGTGTTTTGGTTAGAAACTGAAATATAATATATATCAAACTCTCATAGAACTGCTTTTGATGGGTAAGAAAACTTGTTTCATATTCTACCAAAAAACATTCAAAAATTAGCACTTTGGTGCCAAACATGTATACATGGTTTCTAATATTTTACTCAATTGTAATGCTAAAGTGCATCCAAAATCTTAAAATACTTATATCTGTTGTAATATTTTATTTGATTTTTAATTTAAATGTATTATTCCTTTAAGTATATTGTATATGCTTTGTTTGACAGAAAATTTTTATTTATTATTTTATGTTTATTTTTGTGTTCACTAATAGGAAAAACTCATAATTTTGCATAAGCAAATTATTTTCATTTATTAATAAGTGAATATCCTTTATGCATTTTATACAGCAGCATGACTATGATGAGCACATAAAACTAATTGCACTATCCAACATGATTTCTACTTCTGAGGAAATAAAGATGGTTTCTTATCAATTCCAATGCTACATTTTGATAATTAGCAAGAAAATGTCATGTCATGTCACAGTTTTCAGATATTGAAGCCTGTACTTCAGGTATCTGTGCATTTACCAAACAGATGATGTAATATCAACATTAGGAATTAGTATTATAGTAAAACACTTTCAGTAAAGCAAGCAGATAAGATATGAAACTAATACCCCATGTTTTTAAACTGAATGTATTGCTTAACCAAAATTAAGTTTTGCTGCTAGGTTTCAAAATAGCTTGTTAAGATTCCTCTGCCTGATGCTATTCAAATAAAATGTATCTTCATTTACACTCAACAAATTAATCTTCAAAATTTAATAAAATGCAACTGTAACTGGATAGACTGTAGTAATTTTTGCTAATTGAAACATCAGATATGGTTTAGTCAAAGTAAAAATCCACCTTCACTGATTTGTTAATGGTCAAAAAGACTAGTAGTACCTCTTTTATTTTTTTATTTTATTTTATTCTATTTTCATTTTACCATATGTTATAAAACTTAGATACAAATAAACATTAATATGAATAAAAGTCATATTCAGCTTGTAGAACAGCTGCTTCTATTGCAAAATTTTGATATTCTGTAGATAACCCTTTAAACAGGGTTTGGATTCTGTGTAAAAATGTAGATTCCCATCTTTATAAATATCCAATATTCAAAATAGTGTAAATAAAGAAACAAAACTGCATTAGAATGATTTTCATGGGCATATGTGCTATATTCATATGCTGTACTGAGTGTGTACATAATATAAACATGTGTCTGTTTCTTGATCCTAGGATGATAAGAAAATCTAAAAGGAATTTTTGAAATCAGGAGAATTTTTCTATATGAATCATCTATTTTAATGCCAGAAATATAAAATTTTTTCTCGGATAGTGTTTTTATTGAAGCAGTTCATACGAATATAATAGTCTCCAAAAATTCTGATGATAATATTTTTTTTAATATAATAAGCAGGAGGATACCCAAAATGTTAAAAAATATTAGATATATTATGTTAAAANTAAACTACAGAGCTAGAAATAATCAGTCAATTACATTTTTGTAATTTGTACCTGAAGATACCCTCATTAAATATTCCAGAAAATGTTTCCTAATTAAATAATAAATGATGTATGATCAACCTACAAATTTTCTCTTGTAATCATGTTTTAATAATTAATTAATAAAGCAAAACAGTCTGTTAATATAATGTATGTACTGAATATCTTATTAAAAACAACTCAAATGTAATTATTAAACATAATAAGTAAAATATTTTTATATTTAATGAAGTATCACTAATTCTCAATCATACATGTATATAATATGTTACAACTGTGCTATTTACAAAATTTGTAAAAATACCAATATATAAACAAATAAAAACACCTATTAACCCAATTTTTGATTATGGCCAAATGATCTGCCAAAATTATTTATTATTACAATATAGGTACTATTTAATAATTATTCAGTAATTTTTCCTAGAGATAGTGTTGCCATCGCTAGATAAATTTAATAATTGTAAATAAATTAATATTTAATTTTTAATTTAGAAAGTTGTGAAAGAAAAGAATTGGCCTGGAGCAAACTCACATCCATAACACTCCAAGAAAACTGTAGCCCTATGTACTACTACTGTGTACTATGTACTACTAATATACTACTGTGATCAAAAAGTATTGAAAATGCTTCATTTAAACTGCACACATGCAAGAGGGCACTGCTGGGTTTTTTTAATCATTTGACATGACTTGCATCAACATCTGGCAGCAATCTATATGTTATTGTATGTTCTCATTTGCAAATAAATGCTTGTTTTGTGTGTAAAGAATTTTTGCACCAGCAATTTTTCAAAATATTGAGTGTAATTAAGCAAAGAACATGTATTAAATTTTGAATTTGCAACAGAATTATTGCTACAAAAAGTCTTTGGTGATGATAGTCTATCAAAAACGAGTTTTTGAGTGGTACTAGATGTTCGAATAAGGTAGAGAACACATTGAAAATGAACCACATTCTGGTAAACTATCACTTCAACTGATGAACAACATGTTTCTAGTCAGAGATATGGTGCTTAATTATCATTGTTTAACATTTAAAGACATTATTCAAGATGCTCCAGTATCACTTGGATCTTGCTGAGCAATTTTAAAAGATCATTTGGGCTTGCAGCACATTACTTTTAGATTTGTCCCAAAAATATCATGTTCAAGTAGCTGAAAAAATGCTTTCTCAGGGGGAATCATTCTTAAAATGCATCATTATGGGTGACAAAATACGGATCTGTGCTTTTGACATCGAAATAGCTCAACAATCAAGTAAATGGAGCTTGAAAGATGAAGCAAAAAGAGAGTGTCAAAGTCAGTGTAAAAATCAAGGTCATGTTGATTTTTTTTCTTTGATTGTCGTGGTGCTGTACATCGTGAATTCCTTCTGACTGACCAAACTGTCAACAAAGAATATTTGTGTGAGGCAATTTGTAGAAAGCAATCTAATTTGAGGTGAGAAAACCAAAAATCTTCTAATCTGAATACCGGTATTCTGATAAAATCACACTTACTAAACCTTTATTGAGAAGGAGCATTATTGTGAGAAAACCACAATAATGCACCTTCTCACAATGCTCTTGTTTGTGCATTTTTGGATGAAAATTCAACAAATACCGATTCACAT